TGTTGCTGTACTTGTTGTGGTCGCGTGTTGGCGGCCACCTGTGGGCGGGCGGCCGCATATGCACAGTAAAATATAATACTAAGAAATATGACTTGTCATTTGATATTTTTGTCCGATTTTTTTTTTTTATTGTAAATTTACGTTGAATTTCCAGACATTCTTGCAATTTAATTTAAATGAAATTCAATTCATTTCATTCCTTCAACTTCCTTTCTGTTCCTCCGATTTGATCCTCTGCCTTAGCTTAGTGACAAGGTCGGCGGCTGTTAAACGAGCAGTTGCTGGTTCGATGCTCAGCTCGGATTAATTAAAATTTTTTTTAACTTGATTTAATAATTTTTTTAAAACTTGATTTAATATTGTTTATTTTATTTTTTTATTTCTTAGTTTCTTAAATTTTATGATCAAGAAAAAAACGTCATCTGCAATTTTTTTCGAGCATTTAAACACATAGTATGTGGAGGGTGCCCATAGTAGTAATAGATATACATATATGTATACTTTGCATACATAATATATATGTATGTATGTAGCTGCAGTTAATTTAGTTCATGTTTTCATTGCGGTTCTTGTGGGTTGGCGGCATTCGCATGGCTAACTGGTGACGGCTTCCCACGCGCCCGCAATTGGGCTTACATATAACCATATATACATATATATGTAAATATTTATATATAAGACATGTATATACATATGCACACACATATGTATATATATATATATACCATATATGTACAAACTCTTTATAAAATAGCTGTGAAATCGTACAGCTGTACAATTTTAACTACTTTTTGATACTTTTTTGTTAGAAAATTTACTTTTATAAATTACATTCTCGATTTAAAAGTCATTAACAGATATGTATATACACACACATATGTATATGTATATAGAATTGGAATCAAGTTATTTCGACCACATGCCTTGCTCACATGGTGCCCTTTTAACATGGTTATCTTATCCGTCTAATGAGATCCTGACACACACATACATTCAAACTACAGATAGTTAATGACATATATAGAAAATCTAGCATGACGGCAAAATACCCTGTTTTCTTTGCACTTGCCTCTATTATATGTAAATATTTATCGACTGAAACAAAATCATTTCTTATACATATATGATTAACTAAATATATAACAGTAACATTTATTTCAGATGCAGTCTTACGTTTGTATCTATCTGTCTATCTATCTGCCTATCCTTCTATAACTATATAATTCCATCGATTCTAGCAACTAATTTTGTCATGAAATTGAATGTCTGTTTATTAACATTAATATCATTTTATAATATATGAATCTTGAGAGACTTGTCTAATAATTTAATCGAGAAGCGAATAACCAAACGTATATCTATCCATCTCAGTCATTTGATGATTTGTATTGCTTTTTCTCGTAAAGAAATCATTAAAATGAGATTCTTCAACGATATTTCTTTCATGTATAATTATTTTATCTAACTCATTCTAATAGAATACCCTCAATGTTGAAGCGTTTCTAATTTATACAGGGTATTTACTTGGGGCAAAGATGGCGGCCAGCTGGCGTGAAATGTGCATTAATTGACAGAAGGCATTGAGAAATCTATAGATAAAAGTTCAATTTACACAGATAAGCTCTGTAGGTGGCAAGCGCCGAGGAGGCGGCCGGGCGGACGATCGTAGAGGTGGACGGGCAATGCGGCGTATACGCAACGCCGTATCATGTTCGCTGTTTCCATGTGCTGCGGCTACTTTCATAGTGTGTGTCGGGCTCATCAATTGCAAAGAGAGTATATTCGTTGTAGATATAATAGTCATTCGGCGGATCGCTCGAGGGTGTGGCAAAGTCAGAGGGAATTACTTTCACTAAGGGAATTACGGAGTTAAATCCACATTATGCAATAGACGTGAGTGAAAATTACTTTGCCTTAAATCTCTATAGAAAGTAAAACTGTTAATCTAATAATTTATTGATATATTGTAAAAATCGATTGTGAACTATCGTTAAAAAGTATTAGGCAGTCTGTTATGCCCAGCTGCAGATGCAAGCTGTTCTAATTAGCTATTTGGGCCAGTTGAAGGGGGAAGGTCTGATGGGTGGGCAGGCAGGGGGAAGGGAACTGTCACCGAGCTTAAGTGTTATTTGGTGTACTATATAGGCATGCACATATATGTACATATACATATGTATGTATGTAAGTAGGCACTTAGACACATATGTACATACATATGTATCAATGTACTTACCAATTGGACAATCTTGATGAGGCCCGGCGCAGTTTTAAAATAATCGAGATTCAAGCGAATGGCGCTCCAGAAGTTGCCATTGTCACCGGCTGAGGGATTGCCGCCAGGTGGGCCAGTTGTTGTTGTTGTGCGCTCGACGGTGACGACGGTCTCGACCATTTTGTTGTTGTTGTTAACAATATAACTTGAACTTTAATAACTAGAAAACTATTTCAAAAAAATATATATGTATAGATAGTATATATTCGGAATTCAATTTATATATAGAGACACACAATGTATATATGTAAACAGCACTCGTATAGATCTCACAAGCGATCTTGTCTTTAGAATTGTCACAAAAAAACAAGACAAAAAATATGCATAGATTTACGCTATATGCTATAGATACATGTGCACATATACATAAATATATGTATATATTTAAATAGGATTATATATACTATATTTATACTATATACAAGAGCTGCGCGCGTTTTATACCAGCTAGTTAACAAATCGTATTTATATATAAATACTTTTATTTTTGATTTATGAATGACTGCCAAGCGATGCGATTGCTGTGTCCACGGCTAACGAGACGCGTCTAACGACTGACGGCCACAACTGACACTGACTCTGACTCTGACTCTGATTACTGCGGTCGCTGTCGCAGTCTCTGCCTGCCGCTGCTGTATAACGGTTAACTGCACAATAATTGCTGCTTGTGTTTCATTTTGTCGTTTTCTAGCACTAAATACCAAAACAAATGCTTAAATCGCTCGCTACTTCATGCTCTCTCTCTCTCTCTGTCTCTCGCTCTCTCTTTGCGCTCTGCCGATCGGCTGGACAGCCCTTTGCTGGCATACATTGCTTTTGAGTGTATGTGTGTTAACCCACTGCACCCCACACACAAAGCGAATCAGGTTTTCTGATGCCGACAAAAGCCGAATGTTACACGAACCTGAGTAATCGGCAACATTGTTAAAAATCACTTGGCTACACTGTGCGGACTACGCACACATACCAACGTGTACCCACACACAGGCACACACTCATGGTACGCAAACTCTATGTCAAAAAGATTGCAATAAGTAATGTGTTAGCCTTTTGCTGACGTCACAAGGTAAGTATTTTGTATTTCAACACATGGACATCATCATCGCATAGTTTTTATATACATATGTATGAACGTAATCGGAAGTGCCTCAAATACAAAAATGAAACATGAAGTCATAGAATTGAAATGTTTCCATATTACATTCGCGCTTTTTACTAAAGTATGTATAGTCGAAAGTCTACCGTCTTTGTTGTACTATTTAATATCGTTATCGCAAAGCTAATTTAAATATTGAAAATATGACATAAAATCTTATACCTATTAATGGCGCAATTCATTTGAATAAAGTTTGGGTTACCGATCGATCACAGTGTAAACATATTCTGGAGATAGAAAATACCATAAATATGCTGTTTGCGCAGAACTAGCGGAATTGCGAACACTGTTAGAGCTGTTTTGTCTCCTATCGAAATAATATTCGATTGTTATGTGCGACACATAATTCGGCAAACAAGTTATTTGGATTAAGTTCATATTGTATAAAGATAATCAGATAATAATATTTACATTATGCTTAATAATGAATTAATTATGATAATTACTATGAGCAATAATTAATGTAAGGCACAATCGCAACAACTGTCAACGGTTATTTCACATGAAAATACCACACGATCATTATTTTAAAAATTAGGTGAACATATACGACAAAAATACCAAAAAATATAAGCGTGACCGTTTGCCGCTAGAAAATGCCCATTTTGGTATATTTCGGGGCAAAATTTAGTGTGATCGTAAAATAGGTGAACAATTTGCTGTGACGCTGCCATTTGGATTTGGGCTCTGTTAAAAATCCACAAAACAAAAAATCGTGTAACCAAGTCTTCTCGGCTGCGTCCAGCCAAAAGTAAACCAAAAAAAGAAGGAAAAAGAACTGTTGCAACTGTTGCATGCGCACAGCGCAAACAACAATCAATGTGCCACACATTGCATGTTTACAAACACAACGAAATCGCTGCTGCTGCTGCTGCTGTTGCTGTCGCTGCGCTGCTGTTGCTGCTGCTGCTTGTTTCGCCAAAAAACTTGCTGCCAAAAAAAGTTGAGGGAAGCGAAAAATAGATGTATTAAATAAACTATACAAATATAACGGAACGGCTCAATCGTGCAAGTACTTAAACATTAGTGCCAGTTGACGAGGCGAATTACAAACACATTCACCTGGACATTGGCACATATATATCTGCATATATATA